TGACTGGAAGGACAACTATGTACGTGTGCCACGGGTACATAAATCAAACTGAAGGCAGTTGTTGTGTCCTTTCTCTATACGGAGAACACACTCTCTGAGACTCTTACATACTTTCCCCCACAAAAGGTGTGGCTGCAAGATCTTTGATCTGAAAGATGCGCGGCAAGAAAGAAGAGGAGAAAATGAGTTGGAAACAGATTCTAAAGCCTCTTCTTACTTTTATTTATGCGTTTGAATTTCATTAGAAATGGCCGATAATTGTGTCTTTGGTTGCATGTTGCTGTGTCTCACCTTTATCTGTATGTTACCTCGAGGCTTATTGCTGCCGCTCCTGCTCTCCATTTATATATATTTTACTCTCAAAGATTATGGTTTCACCTAGTCTCTAACTATCCATCCATATTTTCCTGTTGGTGTAACAGGACTATCTGTATCTATTGCCATGCCCTGTCATCATCCATCTTTTGGAGTGCCTGTGTAGGAGGAACGTTTGACTCCTGATGAATGAATGTTGTGCAGCCAATAAATCCATTTATGCTAAGCACTTGCTTATTATTATAATCCTCTGCTGTCGTAGCAGCAGCAGCATCAGACACACTGCCACACAGAGAAACGCCCGAGACTCTGATGAACATTTAACCCTAATTTGCATTTATGTTGCACATTGCCAGGCGGAGGGTAGGGCATAGCTGAGCAGAGGATGAGACTGTGGCTCTCTGGTTCTGTGATTACCTGTGCCATAGAGCTTCTCCATCCCCCTCCTTCCCCTTCTCCCACTCTTCGTCTCTGTCCCTCTTTTGTATCATTCGTCAGGCAATAAAAGTAGTTCGCAAAAAAATATAACACACATACACACAGAGAAGGGGGAAAGGCTGAATGGCATGGGTGTGGGCGTGGTGGGATGTCTACTTATAAACTCACCTTAATTAAACGTGATTAAGTAGATTTCCCTCGTTTTTCTGCTCAACGAACTGTTTAGTTGTTGTCGATGCGGGTGTGTGCCATGTGTGAGGTGTGTATCTGTGTGTGTAATTATAACCACTGTTGTGTGTGGCTGTGTATGCCCTGTACTTATTAACTGGCATTTATTGTTGTTCTTTTTCTCTCTCTATCTCTCTCTCTCTCTCTCTCTCTGTCTCTATGTATGGCAGGTGGCATGTGGAAAAGGTGGCCGCAAAAGGCGGAGGGTACGAGTACTTTTTCATTGAGTTTGCGGATGAGCAAAAGAAAAAAGTTGTGGCTTAGTGGGAGTTTGAATGCGAAAATGTATCTTAATGTGATTGATTTTACGGGAAATATCGATGCATATGACACAGAAATAGGGTTCTAATCGGGCTACAAATTTGTGGAATGGAATCCCAATGGAGTTTTGAATAGTTTTTGATGGGAAAAGAAAAATAGATAAAATAAATAAAAGTTATTTGATGGAAAAAAAAGGAATGAAATTAAATCCGGATAGTTTAACCAAGGGAAATTACGAATAAATGAAGTTCTGACCAGTTTATAGATGGGAAATCTAAGAATACAGCAAATTCGCAGTGATTTTATGGCAAATAAAGTTAAAATATAATTTATTGAAATTGTTCTTCTTAGGAAATGCAAAGGAAAGTAGAATTTCAGAAATTGTGTCTAGAATTTCATTAAAAATACCCATGAAATCTAGAGAAACTTCATAAAGAAACTTCCGAAATCAACAAATTTTGCTCAGGGTAGAACCTATTCCTCCTATGCGTAGAATTTTCTAGTGTCTAGGCTCACATTTCGCTCAAATATATTTCACTCTAAGGAGTTTTAACGCTCCCCGAACAATTGTCATAAATTCTTTACACTTCCCAACTCTGCCCCGCACTTGGAACAAGTGCCCCAATTAAAGTAGAATCGTTTTGGAAAATCTCGTTGCTTCTTTGGTGGATTACTTGGCTGCTTGCCGATGCTGCCCCTAACTATGGTTCCCAAGAGGGTATTCAAGTTTTCGGTTGCTACGAAACCCAACCGAAAATTAGCATTCAATTTTCATGTTTATTCTACGAGTTCTCTGCCGGCCTCTCTCGGTCTCTGGGAATCTCTTTCTCCATTGTTGGTTCGTTGAGCAGCGATAGCTGCTTGGGTTCTCTTGCTGTGGAGCTGGGGCTTTTCCCTTGCCCCTGCCACACTTTGTGTGTAATTTAGTTTCGTTTGTTTGGCATGAAAATGAATTTGTATTATTGTTTGGCATTAATTTTCCTTATTAATTACGCTTATACGAGTGGACTACAGCGCTTTTTTCCTCTACTTATGTTGTGGATTGTCAATAGAGTGGATGCTCTTGCATGACCCTCCCTGCCGCTTTTTGCTCTGGAGTAGATCTCTCTACTACTTCTGGCTCCTCTTCTCAGACTCGGGACGGACTTCCCCCTGTCTACCGCCTTTCTATGATTTTTACCGACCCACTCTGCTGCCTCCCACACAGTTGTGTGATTTTCCCAGGGGGTAATTTCGAGAATTGGTTGTGCGGTGCGGACAAGCAAATAAATAATGAGGACGACGACTGTGTGGCACAGCCACTGCCCCATCCACAACGTCTGTTGCTGATGTCGTCAACTTTTGTTTAATATGCCCAAAACGTTGCTAGAACTTTTCTTCCACTGATGCCACTGTCGCCGCTACTTGTCATCGTTCAACAGAAATTTTGCCAAAGCCTCTGAAAATCCTTTGGCCCCAGAGTTGAGTTGAGTTGAGTTGAGAGTCCTTTCTGCCTCGCCCACTAGAGGATTGTCTATGGCAACCGCGAAGCATCTCTCTCTCTCTCCCACTGTCTGCCTGTCTATGTTCTCTATAATTGCCTTCTTTTTTTTTGGCCTCAAAAGTATCTGTGTATCTTTGAAATTTTCTGGCAGCATTCAATTGAACTCCCCCTTAGACTGCAATTTTTCAATTCCCGGGCTGCCTGCTGGCTTCCCGGCTTGGAATTGCAATTCAATTTGGTTTGTGCTACGTGGCATTATATTTTGAGTTGCGACTGCAACAACTTGCTGACTTTTGAGCTTTCTTTTGAAGGAAAAGGATTCACCTTTTGTCAGAGAACAACAACAGAGAGGAGAAACAGGAAGCAGCGAAAGCAGAGCAAAATTTAAATGTCAACGCTGATGAAGCCAAAGGCTGTGCCACTCATCATAAAAATCACATTCGCAGGCGCATCCTACATCCGTATTCGCTCGTACAACATCCTTCCAGGGAGGTCCTTCTACCCTGGTCTATGCAACAGCCCTTCCTTGGCTCCCCTGCTCACTTGTTCATCCTCTATGGCTCTCTTCTTCAGCTTATATCCTCTAGAAACCCTTTTTCTCCTTGCCGCGTTCCCTCACAAAAGGCTCCCGCGTCAACCTCAAGCAGCGCACTAGGCCACGCTGATTTGTACACAGGACAACGCTGGAGAAGGAGCAGGAGAGGCTACAGGCGAGGACACAGCACAGCACAGCACAACACAGTGGGTACAAGAAATATACTTCCGTGTTGATTGTTTTGTTTTGTTTTGCTTTGCTTTGTTTGGCTTTTACTTCGTGGAAACAGAAGACGAGGAATAGCAGGAGGCATGGAATGAGCAGAAGGGGGAGTATAAATTGAGAGGAAGAATGGCTAGATGGGATGGCTGTGGGGGAGGGGGAGGATGAAGGAGGTATGTTTTGCTGCTACCAGCCAAAAGACAGGACAGGACGACGCCCATAAAAAGTGACTACGTCTGCGAAAATCACTTTAAAAACAAGTGAAAGGAGAAAGGACACGAAACGAAACGGGGAAACAACAAAAAAATGTACATGGAGTCGTAGTCTCCTGTGAGTCTGGGAGGCTGAAAGGCAAACCTGTCTATCAACAAAACTATTGCAACAATAAACAAGGAACAATTTGACAATTGAAGTGCTTCCTGCAGGATAAGAAAAGATGGCAACAAAAAGAAGAGCAAAAAGAAAGGCAGAAAGTGGGCTAGAAAACGAGGCAAGCGAAGGGGAATGTGGGGGGAGAGCAGCAGCAAGAAAGAAGGCTAAGAAAAGCAGCCAAGGAGAAGCAGGACAAGAGTAGCACCAAAATGGGATTCGTAGGGTTCCCCATTGCGAGAGGGGGAGCCATTCGAAGGAGCCTGGCAGCAGGCAGCAGGCAGCACTTGAGCACAGTTTCCGGTCATTTACACGTACGCACACACACACACACACACACACACACACATGCACATGTCAATCTCTGCGTGAGTCTATGTGTGACACAGTGTGCTACATTTTTTATTGGCATCAAAAAAAGTGTTGCGCTCTCTGTCGCTCTCTCTCTCCCTCTCTCTCTCTCTCTCTCTTTGCCGCTCTCCGTTCTTTGGGAAACGCTAGCCAAAAAAAAATAATTCCCCCCGGTAATCACAAATGAAATTTCCACCAAATTAGACCAAGGTCAGTGGCTGGAGATTGGGAGATTGGGAAGGATGGAGGGGTGAGGTACTGCTACACATGTCAGCAATTTAAACCAAAAGGAGCAAGGGTTTCGCAAAAGTATGCTACGGAAAATTATCAGCGATAATGGTAGACTCCTCCGTCCGTCATTTTTCTAGAAACAACAAAACTTCTTAAGTTCATTTTTTGTTGTTTGTTGTGCAGCGAGAGGAGTGGTAAAAAAATGAAGCCAAAAAGATTAAAGGAGGAAGATGGGGAATGGTTGAAGGCAATAACAAGCGAACTAAAATGTCTGAAAGGAACAAAATTGTTGGCTTTTCTCACAGACTCCACGTGCAGCCGCAGCAGCCTCAATAATCTCTGCCTCTGCCACTGCCTCCCAGTCTCTGACTCTCTCTCAATCTCTGTCCCTTTAATCTCTCTCTTTTATACACTCTCTCTCTCTCTCTCTTTGCGCAGCTGCTGGTCCTGCAGGATCAGGGTGTGGTGAGTTATGCTGCTGGCTGGCTGGCTGCTGCTGCTGTTATGCTGTGCTGCTGCTGCTGCTGCTGCTGGAAAAGCGTCGGAAAAATGTCTTGTGGGCCCTACCTTCTGCTGGCGTCGTCGTTGACTTCTGATTTTCCTGCTGCTTGGCTGCGCGTTGCTTGGATTCTGTCGCTGCTTCTCTGCTACTGTCGCTGCTTCTGCTGCTGATATGTGGACACGGGCACTCACTCACACTTTTGTCGGGCACTGGTTGGCAGGGAGTGGGGAGGGCCCCAGCACTCGCTCTCTCACACACTCGCACACACACACACAGGCACTGGCTCGTCGGGACACTCACACACACACGCGGCGCGGCGCATTGACAATTGTCGTTCGCTGTCTTTTTGTTGCTATTGCTGTTGTTGTTGCTCTATTTTTTGTGTTGCCCCTTTTTATATTCCGCGCAATTATAATTCACATTTTCCACCGACGTATCTCAGATTTTGTTGTATGTGGCATTCATGTCGGCTGTTTGTTTGTCTCTCTTGCTCACTGCTCTTCTCTCTCGCTCTCTCTCTCTCGTGAGCAAGTGTGTGTGTGCGCTTGTGAGTTTGTCAGTTCTTTTTTGGTCACAAATATCGACACAGTCGATGCACACTTCCGCTTTGGTCAACCGAACACGTCAACTGTCTGCACCTGACTGACTGAATGCTGCCGCTGCCTGCCAGTGGCCCCAGTGGCTGTGGGAAAGTCTCTAAAAAGTTTTTCCGCTGTCAGAGAGAGAGAAAGAGAGAGGCAAGGCATCAGCAGCAGAAGAGAGAGAGAGAGAGTGGATGTTGTGGATGCTGTTTAAATTCCGCTGTTGTCGCTCTCTCGCGCTCTCTGCTGCTGCTGCTGCTGCTGCTGCTTTCTGGCGTTCGGTGGCCCTTTGTTTTGATTTATTTTTTTTGTGGTAGGCCTTTTTTTTAGGTACAAGAATTCCAGCAGGGTCCAAGATGGTCCGTTGGTCCATGGATGGTCCGTGGTCCATTTTATACCAAAAACTAACTAAAAATAATATGCTGCCTCTTGTGTTTTAATCCTAGTCTCTCCCTGCTCCACTCCTTGGGTTGGCTTCAGCAAGGGGCAGGAACTGGGGACGCGGTACATTGCCCTTTCTCCCCCCAAGAGCAAATGCAAATCCACTTCGGAAAAATCATTCGAAGCGCAAAAATTGGCGCTGACTGCAAACAAAGCAACAACAAAAATAAGAAGAGAAACTCGGGCATGAAAAATACTCAGACCCCGAAAATAAATATCATAAAAATATGAAAAATAAATAAATGAGGCAGGAAGAGAGGTGGATAGGTGTGGGGTGTGGGGTGTTGGGGCAATGGGGTCCATATATAAATATAAATATTTGGGAACCAGCTACAGTTACGTCTCGGCTTAACAAAAGAGCTACGGCTGCTGGCTGATGTCTGCTGCTGCTGTCCGATTCGGGTTTACGGGGGGTCAATTGGGTGAGGGTGAGAAGGAGAGAGGGGTAGGGTTATGGGTATGGGCTTTAAAAGGTGAGTGGGTAGATTCAACAAAGGAGTTCCAGGAGGGGGTCTACAATGGAGGAGTTTGCTGCTTTAATAATTTGTTCCAAAAGTGGTTCCAATTGGGTTTCCAAAGGGTACTCCATAGGGTCTTCCAAAGGGTTTTCCAAAGGGTTTTCCATAGGTCTTTCCAAAGGTGTTTCCATATGTTCCAAAGTGCCAGTTTGCGTTTCAATGTTCGTTCCAAAGGCGTTCCAAGATACCTTCCAACTGATGTTTAAAAGGGTTTTTGGAAGGGGGTTTTAAGGGTCTTCCACCATGACTTCTAAGGGTTTTCCATAATGGTAGTGGGTTTTGCAAACAGTAACCCTGCTCCACCCATGGACCACGTGGACCGCGTGGGGGATACGCTTCTGTTCCGTTGTTGATTCTTCTGTTTAAGCGGTGATGCTGCTGCTCTTTATGCAAACTGCCGTCACATTCATCCTCATCCTTCCTCTCTCCACCTCCAACTCCACCTCTTGGACCAGCTCTCACTCATCCTGCCACCCCCTTACCCCCATACCCTTGGAGCTGCTGCTGTTGTTGTTGTTGTTTGTCGGTCGGTCGGGGCGTCTCATGAATATGTAAATTGTTATTATTGCATATTGTTAGGCGCCAGGAGCAGCAGCAGCAGCAGCAGCAGCAGCGAAACACACAGGATAACAGTGGACTGGCAGGAGGAGGAGAGTCTTACGCTAAACGCAAAAGCAGGTGAAATGCAGGAGAAAAGAAGGTGCGGCTCCTGCTTGCTGGGCTAAAGATAATGCGAAGCCGTAGATACCCTTGACAAAAAGTCGTAAAAATATGCAACAACAAAAAAGTGAGCAGTATTCAACAAGAAAATAATCGAATAGTATGTAGAGCGTTGAAGATTTAACTCACAGAATTATCATTGGCTGCAGTAAGAGTTATAGATTATAGCAACAGAAGAGTCAACATTCTTTGTGGATTCTTTCTTGATTCACTTGAAACAAAGCGTCTCCTTTGGCAAGGGTTTGGGTGTACCAGCACAAGCAGCATCTTTTGCCCCTTCCGGCGGAAATAGTAGCTGTGCGAAGGAACGACTGTAACTGTAATTCCCATAGATTTTGACAAATGTCTCTCTCACGCTGCGAATAGAAGAGAAACAATGAATACGAAATGTTTCAAGGAATTCCACTGGTACTCCAGCGTCTGGGCGTGTCGTGTCGTGTCAGAGAAAGAAGTTCTTGAATTCCAGAGCTCACAGATTCACTTGAGTCAGCTTTAAGTTGGGTGAAATCATTGTCAATGGCGACGGCAACACCTAGGCAACAAAGTAATGGCCGTCACACACACACACACCGATACAGCTACAGCTAGCTGTAGCATACACGCGTGTACTTGAGGAGGCAAGTGGCAGTCAGTCAGGCAGCAGCAACAAAAAGCGGCAGCCTTGACAACCTGAGAACATGCCAAAGAACAAGACATTTGCCGCGGCGGCGACTTTGATTGGCAGCAGGACGAAGGCAGTAGATCTAGGAAAAGTAGAAGTAGGATGAGGAGTAGGCGGGGATCATCATTGAATGTGTACAGAAATCTATATGTGCGTGTGTTTGTGTGTGCGCCCATGGCAGGCTGTCGTCATCGCCATTGCCATCATCGTCATCGTCATCTATAATAACATCAAACAGCTACGCCGTCGAGCCGCTCTCTCGCTCGCTCGCTCGCTCGCTTGCCCCAGACACGACACACAGCGAGCCGTCAGTTCTTGGGCTTTTCTCTAAACAAGCCACAGAGCACTCCTGCTGCTGCTACTGCTGCTGCTGGTCTTGCCCCATTCCACCTTGCTACCAGCCTGCCTCCCAGCTTGTTATCACGAGCAATAAAAAGCTTGCCAGCAATTCCCTGCTCCCGTTTAATTTTTTTCCTCTACTGTTTGCCTTATTCTTAGAATGCCCTCCATTTGGATACTAAAGCGGTCAGGGTATGGGGAATATGTCATTGAAGCGGGCTCTGGGGAGCAGATTGGCAATGGATTGGATAGGGCTGTGAGTGTGAGATTTCGGGAAGATTATAGGGAGTTTTCAGGCTGATATTTATGGGTGGGAAAAGGGCAAAAGAAAAAACGTTTGGGGTTTCTAGTATTTTTTGAATTTGTTTCCTCGATTGTATTTACATCTTTCCCTTCCTTTCTGAAGAAAATACTTCATAATATCCTTACTTTCCAGAGCATCCCCTATTCGGCTTGGAAATGGTTGGCCCTTAATTTCCCGTCCAATGTTTTCGTTGATTTTTTCCCGATGCTTACTTGATTTTTCCTTCCTTACGATTTTCAAACATTTACTTTCGCTTTTTGCAAAAAGTAAAAAAAACATAGGCAAACAAACACACACACACACACATATTCAAATGATTGTGTAAAGTGGTGTGGTGTGGTGGGGGGGGGGGGGGGGAGACTATAGGTAGGTGGTAAAAGGGAGGAGTCGCCCCCGCAACAGCAGCCACAGCAGCAGAAGCATAGAAAAGAGGACCACGAACAGCAGCCGTAGCAGCCTCAGCTAGTGGAAAAATCCGCCCCGTGTACGCAGGCGAAAATTTGTTGTTGTCGGTGGCAAGTGGGTGTGGCAAGCGGCGGGCAGCGCAGCCGGCAGCCGCTGCCTGAATGCGCGTTTAGTTTCAAGTGTTATTTTTGTACTAGAAGCAGCAACCAGCCACCAGCCACCAGCTAGCAGCTAGCAGCTAGCAGCCGAAGAGCGGCGGGGTGGCGTGGCAAGGACTTCGGTTTTTCCTTGGGACTTTCTTGGGTTTTGTTCCTCGCGCGCCTTTCGCCTTCGTCTACGTCTACGGCTTCGTCTCTGGGTCTGCGTCGTTTCTTTGCCTTCGTCTATTTTGGCTCAAGTGCGTAATTGATGTGAAAAGTGGCAACAAACTGTTTTTTATTTGCGCTTGCTTTCAATTTGTTTAAATTGCTGGGCTGCTGTCTTGCCACACTTGCCACTTTTCCACCCTCACACACACTGATTGGGGGCAGAGACACATAGATACATTTTTTTAACGCTGATTGAAGTTTTATTGAATTTTAAATTGTCTTGCCCTGCCAGCCACCCCATGTCCCTTCCTTTCCATTCCATTCCTTTCCTTGCCCGTCTTTTCACTTTCTTTCGCTGCCATCCATTTTATAGTACGTTTGCTTGACGCTCTCTCTATTTACGCACTCTCTCTGACTCGCTCTCTTTGCCCCTCTGACTGCCTTATTCCGTCTCGATTTGCTGCTGCTTTGGTTGAGTGTTTTATTGTTGACACAAATAATGTCACTCAAAATGTCAAAAAGAGGCCGCTGGAATTTCTGTTGCCTTGTTTTTCTTTGGTCCATTTTTTGTTGCCCTTATTTCTGCTGTGTTGCGTTACGTTACGTTGCTTGTTGCTACTAAGGTTTGACATGTATTAAAAGAGAGCTGCCACAGGTGTGGGGAGTGCTGAGACGTAGACATTATTATTTCTTGGGCGAAGGCAGCCTGGGAGGGCATAGACAGGAAGGCAGGGAAAAGGGATGGAGCTTTCTCTTAATTAACTTTAAATGTAGATTGATTAATATTTATATTTGACTTGAAACAGAATGGAGTAGGAAAAGGTGGAAAAATGGGAAATATATAGAAAAATATACAAATACAATACATAAAATAATTATAATAATAAAATATTACATAGTGATAGGGAACAAAAAATTATATATAATGAATAATAACAGCTAAAATATTGAAGGAAAATTAATCAATAAGCATAGCATTTAGATGGAATTTCTCAATAATAAATACATTTCAAAATGACAGCCTTTAAAGTCATAAAAATGCCACTAAATATGTTTTATCTTCTCTCAGCTATCCATCAATCGATAGTCTCTCGGGAGTACTTACAACTGTGGCTGTTATGGAAAACCCCATGGCTAGAATCCACCTGTTTACCTTTCATTTTCTGCCAATTAACCAGCCTCTCAGCTAATTGTAATCAGCAGTCGCCTATACTGAAGCATACGCCCCACGCTCCACGCCCCATGCTATCCGCCTCTTTGCCTCCTTTGGGGATGCCTGGGCGTCCCTCAATTACTTAGCAGAGCCGAAAGAAGCAGCTGCCACAAGTCAAATAAAACATATTACAAATGGCTCCCACACTCCACTCCCTCTGC